AGCCAAAATAAGCTAGAAGCGCATTTCGGCCTTTACTTGTAGAGGGCAGTATCTGCTCTTATAGATTTCGATGATCCTTTTCTACACCACGAAACAAAAATCTGGGTCCACGGATTCACAAAGCCTTAATCTTTGAGAACCCCATCCCACCAACCATTTATAAAAGTTACAAAAAAAAGAAGAAAAGAAAAAAAGGAAAGGAAAAGGTAAAGAAGATAAAGATATTTACTTTTTCCTAAAAGAAAAATGTATCAAAAGAGTTCAACCATGTCCATTGAGTGTAAGAGTTCCCCCATCCTAAAAAACATATTATCATTATGAATTTTTACATATACGTAATGTGATGTTTTGGCAAGATTATGTATTTTACTGACAGGAGAGATATTTTCTTCCTTATTAACTTATAATATTATCATATTAGTAATCATTATTGACTCAATAATCAATTATTTGATTTTTATGAAGAACGTGGCGGTGGGAGACCCTTTGACTTGTTGTTTAAGTTTGAATAACGGTTAAATTACAGATAAGTTGAGTCTATCCCGAGTATTATTATGTAATTGTCAAATATTTTTTTTTTTTTTTTTTTTAAACATAGGTATCCAATCTACCATCCAAAATTTTATTTTATATTATTTGTATTAAATATTTCAAATATATGAATTTTTATTCTTTAATTTTACCAATAAACCCATTTCTTTTCTGTCCTCGTACATTTTCTGTTGCTGCTTTTTTTTTTTTTTTATTCTGAATAATGTTCTCTTCGCCGTATAATAATTAATAGCCGGTAATGTAATAAAAGAACAGAAGAAAAATAGCTGGAATATAGATGTATTTGGAAATTAATGATCGCTTCCAAGGCACAATTTTTCTTCGAAGTAGTGATGTCTATAATATATTAATATTAGATATCTGTCCATTCTACAGATCTAAAATATTACTATAAAATGATTAAAAATTATTATTTTAACTTTGAAGTTGTGAGCTTTTGGTTTACTCCAAAATAACAAGAAGACCATGCCAAATTTTAGGCACGAGTCGTGGGGATTTGAATCTTTAAAGTCATTAGACTACAAGTCTACAATAATAAATTGCAGAAAGCACATCCCACATGTAGTTCTTTATTAACCTACACAAAACCATGGTAATTATATAACGAAATAACTTTAATTTTAATTAAAAATAAAAAGCAATCAACATTAATAATACGAATATATATATTGTTTAAGAATAATAACTAGTTCAAAACACGTTTAGAAAACCGTTGTGTAACAACCCTTTACCTTACCTTAATGGAGTGAGGGATGGATTGAAGAGTTAAAAGACAAAGAGGTGTTGAGTTTAAATTGTAACAAAGGTAAGGGATGGCCAATTGGCCACCAATTACCATTTAAAAAAAAAAACGCTGTGCAGACAGGGACCAAACGTGATTATTCAAATTAGTTGAACTATCGAAAGTGGTTAACCATAAATTAAGGCTACTGCCGCGAGAGACAACAACAAAACGATGTCGTGTCAGTTTCTAGAGTTGACACTTTTCGGTGTCACATGACAGACAGCAGTTCAAGTTGAATCTCAGGAAACGGACAGTTGGCAGTTAGCAGCCCAAGAGTGTGAGAGTGAGATAATAGTGATGAAGTAATGATGTCATATTTCAATTACTTTGAAACTTTATTATTATGATTATTATTTAGTCACCTTAGCATCATCGTGACATGCTCATAATACGACACTTTCCATTACTCTATATTTAACATTTGTGAATGGGACCTCTCACACTCAGAGTCTTTAGGACGCATAAATCAAATTGAAGACGATGTCCGGTGTACGGTTCAATTAACGTTTATAATACCAATCTCGAATGTTGTTTTCAAATGATCTTAGATGGGTGATTGTTTAATTGCAAAAATAATTTTAAAATATACAATATCTTTCAAAAGGATTTTAAAATCCTTATCTATGAAAGAGATTTCTAAGGAAATTATAGGTAGTCGATTGTTAAGAACTTAAAACAACTTTATGTTTGTTTGTTTTATTATTTTGAGTAATATTTTTTAAAAAATTGAGTTGAATTATTATTACGAAGATAGAATTTAAATTTGAAAATATGTTTGGTAAGTTTATTTTTTAATCCCCTGCATTTATTAATTTAGTTAAACACCCGCAATAATAAAAGTTTTAAAATTAATAAAAACACCCCCACCTGGCACTCACCCATTAAATGCTAGCAGTGGTGGCCAACTATCGGGAATATTTGGGTGGAAAGGGTGTTTTTTTCAGTTTGTAAACTTTTATTGTTGAGCAGTGGTGGCCAACTATCGGGAATATTTGGGTGGAAAGGGTGTTTTTTTCAGTTTGTAAACTTTTATTGTTGAGGGTATATAGTTAAATTAACAAATCCAAGAAGTTAAATATTTTGAATTGAATTGAATAAAATTAGATTTTAAGAATAGTAAAACAAACATGTATTTTGAATAGGATGGGATAGGAATAAGGAAACAAACACAACTTTTAATAATTGTTAGGAATTTTATGAAAAATAACATTATCTTATAAAAGGAAACAGAAGTTAACAAAAAAAATTTGTTTATGCAACTTTTATGCTCAATGGGTTGTCACGAGAAACATTAAGCAATTTTTGTTTTTTTAGAAAAAAAGGTAAAATTAAAAGCAAAATGATGATATCATCATATTAAGATCTCTCGTGTTTAAAAACAAAAGTTTGTAATAAGATTTCTATAGCCATTAAATAATGGTAATCTTTCTACTTTTAATACAAATGTAAAAGTTATCACTATGTAATTTTCAAATTTTAAAGATCTATTTGACAAAAAAATGCAAAATTATTATTTAAATGGGTTGAGTTAAGTGGCAAACCATCAAATTATGTTTAAGAACTCAAAGTACAATGTTTAAAATAATGCTATACTTACAATTAAGTCATACAAATAGACAAAAAATAAAGGTTAGAATAGTCATTTTATATGAATTTTATATAATTTTTACCTATTTGAATGATTTAATTGTATGACTAAATTATAAGTAATATATTATTAAATGTTTAATGAGTGAAAGAGACTAAAGTTAAATAACTTAATTAGAAAATTACATTTAAGAGAGATAAAATGAAAGTTCCTAAACAAGGGGGCCCAAAGTTACAATAACAAAACATTTTAGAGTTTAGACGACGAAATTATAAAGTTTTCAAAATTTGTGAAGGTTGACCACCCCATACCCGCCCGCCCCTGGTTGAGTTCACATGCTCATCTTTCGAAATGCATACTCATTACTAGAAAATAAAGGGCAATTGCCCGTGGGTTACGTGTGGGTCAAATGTCATAATCAAACATTGCTTTGGTACAAAGACTGATCTTAATATTTTACGTCCCTTTATCCAATACCACACTCCTACTCCTACTCCTACCCAGTTCCTAGTAGCCAAACACAAACAGACAAACTTACATCCACACACCACAAAATCCCCCCTACTTTTCACCTTTGTTAATTAGCCATATTATTGGTTTTTTCTTGATTAGCTGTTATAATACGTTCTTCGGTTTAAATCATTAACACATTAATATATAATAATTACAATAATAAACATCCACCCCTAACTTTAATCTTGATCATTCTATATATTAACTACAATCAATGACAGATTAATCAAATAATTATTCTACCTCGACGTTCACTTTTTCATCATTTTATTGTTTGTTCGTATAACTGGCTATTGCCTTTCTTCTGACCTTCCAATTCTAAAATTTGAACTACTAGTTGAGAAGATAAGCCAACCGTTTACTCTTGAAAAGTTTGTGCATTTGGTTTCATCTAACGAGAGATAAATTTATTAATTAAATGGGAATCAAACAAAGGCTGCAATAATGAAAGTGAAAGCAGTGTAGGACTAAGATACAAAATGCATAGATTGGGGGTAGGAGACTTTATTTAAAATATAGTCAAGATGGACACTCAATTAATTAAAATAAGTTTTGGGTGTAACTAAACAACTATATAGGATTCCATGACAAATTTTTAAATCTACCTAATCAAGTTTCTAGACTTGAATTGTTTTTCCGACAAGTTGAAGAAATTTCCTAACGTGTTGACGAAATTGCAATTATGTTTTGCTATCACTGAATTGACATGAAATGTAAAAAACTTACAAAAGTATGGTGAGTAAGCACCTACCTAGTTGGTTTGATTTATACTAATAAACTAACAAACACCATTAATCGTGTTTGATGGAAGTCTTTGTCAAACCGAATATTTATCTGATAATGGCGCGTTGTACTATGCATGGAGATACTCATTAAACTCCTTGAATAAGCTGATTGTCAAGGACTAAATGACTCTCTTGTTTGAACTTTTAAGAAACCATCTGGTCCAGCTGTCATTAATTTACCACTGATGAAACCTACCAAAAGCTTTCAAGTTTCCAGAATAAATTCACCTTACAATTGTGAACTAAAAGTTTGACAAAACACGAGTCGATTTTGGTGACTAAGATACCTTGACATTTGAAAATTGGTAACTGGGATTAAGGCCATCAATGGAAAGAATTTTTTAGCACAAACTTGGTCGTCAATAAGTTTAGTAGCAAAGTAACAAGTGAAAATGACCATAAATTTTGAGAGAACCACAAGACGAGGGAACTTCTTCGTGCCTCTCGTTTGATTTCTTGCAGAAGTGGATAATTTAGCTTACTAACACGTTGAGTGCTACTTATTCCAGTTTGCCATGTGGGCTCATGGGTGACCCTAAAACAATCAAAAGGTTAGTGGAGATAACCACTTAAAATATAAGTCCATGAAGAGAGTGGGTTGCTTGAAATCAAATCATCAACGCGCAGCGTTTGGTTTCACTAGCAAACTAATGTTATTACGATTTAAGAATCACACAAACTGGGATATTTGTTCCTCTATTAGGACACAAAATTTGGTTTTGAGTAATATTCACGCTTCAAAAGGTATCAAGAGTCAAGACAGAATAGGAAGATGAGGTGAGGCATAGAAGATCTCTGCAATATATATATATATATATGATAAAAAAAAGAGTAATAAATAAATCTTCGAAAATGCACAAGCATACTCGAAAATCGAATCCTTCCTAACTGTAGTGACACAAACAAAAATATAACATAGAGACTGCCCAATTGATACTTACATCCTAAGCAATAATACCGGAGAAACCAAATCATTGTACAGACTATGTGAGAAAGGTCTGAAATAGATAAACCTCATAACATAAAGAGGTATTAAAACCAAAATCTTCCATGAAGCCCCACACGCATTGTTTGTCTATGGAGCAAGTGGCTGTTGCCTGCCTTGCCCGTTGTTGTATCCATCATATGGCTTCGTCGACTTGTTAGATTTTCTCTTGATAACGACAATCCAAGTAACCGCTTCCAACAGTACAGCGATCCCACCCAAGACTGCGATCACAATGATGTAAGCTGTTTTCCACTTTTCTGCAGGATTCAAGATGTCCAGACCTTTAAAAATATTGAGGATGCCAAGGACCAGTATTGCATATCCAACACCGTGGTGATAAATATTCCAGTAAAATCGATACTTGTGGTCCTTCTTTGGTCTCAAGAACAACGCGAAAATCTAACAAGAACCAAAAATAGAGTTGCCATCAGAACATACATCAACTAAAATTTAGTATCAAAGCCAGTTGGCATTACTGAAAGTAAAATGTTTGAATAAATATCTATCGGGATCAATTCAATCCACATAGTTCTAAAATCTGAAAATTACTTCTTCCTTTTTGCATATACTCAAAACAAATTTGAGCAATGTTTGTACTAAGTCTGTCCAACCGATAACAGGGGAATTTAAAATGGAAGAAAAACAGAACCGAAAAAGAATTTACCTGAACAGTTGCAAGGCAGAAAACGGCAATTCCAATATTACGGTGGTGGGAGTAAGTAACCCCTTTTGATTCACTTCCAAGCTTGAGACCAGTTCCCCAGCCAGCAACACCAATAACATAGGCAGAGGATTGGCAGGATGCATGTAGATAAAACCATGCTGGATCTGCAGACTCAAAAGTCCTCACATACCTGGCAATAATTGCTCCAAGCGGAAACAAAATTCCCCAACTCACAGCGTTCAATATCCCATGAATCTATAACGCAAACATCAGATTTTACAATTTGTCAAAATCAATTAAAGAATTTGATCGCACTATTTTAATCGATCCATAATCGAATCAAGGAACCCCATAAATATATATTCATATCATTCAATAACGAAATAATCCCAATTCATTCTCATCGATTTCAGTCTATAGTAAGTAAACATGAATTATGTTTTACTGGGTCAAAATTTTCTAGATTTAAGATATGCAGAATAAAAAATAAAGAGATAAAAAGTCAAAAACAATAAAAACAAAAGGAAATACTGACATTTTTCTTCTTGGTTCTGGAGTCTGTTCCAGTACTACCAGCAGTACTCTGAGCTCCACTCAAATCAAGAGTCGCCCTAGCGTTCAGGTTCGCAGGCGCAAAGTCGTGTTTTTCCAGCATACCATTAGCCCCAACACCAGGGCCCATCTGCCAAACCTGGTTAACCTTTCCTGCCTTGGCTAGCTCCTCCGGCACCTTAACTTTCCCATAAAGTCTCATGAACCCTCCTGACTCATCGGCGCTCGTGTCCCACACTTCAAACGACAGCTTCTCCGGGACCACAGAGCTGTAACTACTTATGTTATACGTCTTAACGGTAACGGCGCCGGTAGAATCTTTGGATGCGACCAGTGACTGAGCACCCGCCATGCCTGTGCCCGTGGGATTTATGGCCCACGCGATCCATCCGTTGGAATTGGAGGGAGTCGCAACGAATGCTACTGATAGAGATCTGTTGGTGGAATCGTAGGAGAAGTGAAGATAGGAAGCGAGTGTTGGGAGGTCCAAGCAGTGACTGTACACGTTGTTGTTTGTGAGCTTCTGTGACTTGCAAGTCTGCGACAGCGCGGGTGAAATTAACAGAAACAGAAATGAGAACCCCAAAATTAAGGAACGAGAAGAGAAAGAAAAAGAAAAAGAAACAGCCATTGATGCGAAGTTTGGGCTGAATTTAGGAGAGATGATAATACAAGTGGCGGATTTTAATCTTTTATAGCGACCTTCAAGGGAGGGAGTGAGAAACTATATGAAAAGCTGGAACTGTTTAGGAAAGGTGATAACTAATCGTGTAATGACACGTGGAAAACAGATTCTGTATGATAGTGATGTGGAGTAGTGTGGTTGGATAACTGACTTACTCGTCGACTCTAGATTGACTAGCGTGAAATGGGAGGATCGTGGTCATCACGCGGAGGATATGAATTAAGAAGCACGGCACGTGGGGTCGTAGCTTCTTGTCCAATTTAATCATAAGTTTTGAATGACCATGAGTTTGGGCTGAGCTGATTTTTCAATTTGGATTTTAGCCCAAAGTTTAAATAGAACCCATTGGACTGAAATAAACTTGTTCTGATGTTGAATCTACTTCAAAAATCTATTAGGTAGATATTAAATTGGTGATTTCATGAGATATTTATCTAATTTTGCCATTAATATTGTTAGGAGTTAGATATTTATGTAATATTATAAATATGATGGTCAATTACGAACACTCCAGTGTTTTCCATGTATGATTTGGGTGGTGGACGAGGTGGACTTGATGCTGTGGAGGATGACAGGGGTCAATCGATCTGTAAAAAAATTACTGGACATATAAAAAATGTTTCACCTATTTTCACCCGTTAATCAAATACATTTTATCAATTTTAGTCAATCACGTTGGTTATGGATTAATTTATTTCTACCTCGGGAGATGGGAATAATACTTAATGCTGGCAGTCCAAATTTGGGATTGAAATTGAAGCTTTGCTATGTGAGTATACGGCATTCAAGGAAATCCATTAAAGTTTCCTGCCTTTACATATATAATCTAAATTTTTTAGATGGGATATACTAAAGAATTTTGTCGTCATTGATTACGTTAACAAGAAAAAGCAAAATTACCCAATTGACATATAAATAAAGGGAGAACGACTTATACATACCTAAAGTTTGTCGAAACAACAAGTTGGTACCCAAAAGGTTTTGAAACGATAAATGGGTACCTTCCGTCATGTTCTGTTAGTGTTTTTCGTTAGATAATAGTGAAAAGACTAAAATGCCCTTAAAAGTTTAATTTTTAGTTTTTTAAAAATCTCTAAAAACCCCCTATATTTGCTAATTTGACTAAATACCCCAATATATAAAAATTTTATAAAATAACAAATACACCCCCGCCACCACAGTACCGGATTCCGGCCACCACCGTCGGAATCTGGCCGGAAAATTGTGTTATGACACAGATCCGTCGGATCTGTGTCGTAACACACCGATCTGGCCTTTTTNTACCGCCATTGCAATCCCTCACCACCGCCCGATCTTTGTCTTCTTCTTCTTCTCCCCCTTCTTCTCTTCTGCCGCTTCTCTCTCCCTCCCACAGCCACAGCCATAGCCATAACCACGCTCCTCTCTCCCTCCCGAAACCCCAAAGTCACCACCACCACCACCACCACCCACCACCATTCCAACCATTTACCGCCATTGCAATCCCTCACCACCACCCGATTTCGGTCCCATTTGGCTCGATCTCGGCTTTGTTGGTCGTCCTCATCATCACCACAAACAACACCACCCTTCCACCTCCAAAACCTCCATTTTCCCCGATAGTGGTAGAGGGGAAGCAGTTGGTGGAGAGAAGAGAGGAAGAAAAAGAGAAGAAAAAGAGGAGAAAAAGAGGAGAAGAAAAAGAAGAAGAGGAAGAATCTGATGGAGAGAAGAGAAGAAGAAAGAGAGAAGAAAAAAGGAGAAGAAGAAAAAGAAAAGGAAAAGGCCAAAGGAAAAGAGGAGAAGAAGAAGGAAAGCAGTCAACAGTCAACGGTGGTGTGTTGAGAGAAATGGGTTTTGACACTTTTACCCTTAACCTTTTAAAATAAAATAAACAGTGTTAAATTAAGGGTGGGTATCCGGAATAAATCAAACCAAGGGTATTAACCTTGGATTTCGGTAAACCATAGGTGGGAACATGTCGTTTGCTCTAATTAGATTATACTTTTTCATAAATGATTTCCATGCAATTAACGTTACATACAATTTTAAGACGTTATTTGCTTAAAGCTTATTAGTGAAAACATCTTGATTGCATATTGAACGGTCCATAAAAATTAGCATTTGAAAGGTTAAAATAAAGTGAATACTTTTTAAAAAAGGCGCACTTGTGCATTTGGGAATAGAATTGCTTTGATTGTGCCAACTAAGGCTATGATACGAACAACCATTAAAATTGTGCAATGAACTGTGGCACATGCCCATTAAAGTATCATGTCAGAAAAGTTGTCCGTGATCGTGAAGATTACCGTGTTAGAATTTTAAGACTTTAATATTTAGAATCAATACTTCCAATTTCCAAATTAATATAAAAATAACAAAAATAAAGATAACTGCAGATGGGCTGAAACATAAATATTATTCATCCCTCAAAATACAGAAATCAATGGGAACATCCAAATCTCCGTAACTAAGGCAGTAAATATCGAAGGTAACGTTAAAATCAAATGTAATCAAATCACAAAGCCAAAACACCTAGAAAAAACAGAATCAAACCCAGAAACAAACCCAAATTATTACTTCTAAGTGTTGACTGTCCACCCTTTTCAGGAGCAGTGGATCCACCGGCTGAACTTGAAGGTGTAGCCGTAGGTGCTGATGCAGGTGTCAGACTCTCTGGAGTCCCAACCAAAGCCAAAGTTCCCTTAGCTTTGAGATTGGCCGGAGCGAAGTCATGCTTACTGGGATGACCATCTGAAACTTTAGCACCAATCTGCCAAACTTGGTTCAAATTCTCTACTTTATCCGGAACTTTCAACGACCCATAGATTACCCAAGTACCGTTGGAACCAGATTCGGCCTTCAAGTCCCAGACGTCAAAAGACAACTTTGATTGCACAATGGAACTGTAGGAGCTGATGTTGTAAGTTTTGACGCCCAAGGAGCCGCTGGATTTTAGAGCGATTAACGCCTGGGATCCAGCCATGCCGGTGCCGGTGGGGTTGATGGCCCAGGCGATCCAGCCGTCGGATGAGGCCGGAGTTGAGATGAAGGCTATGGAGAGAGAGGAGTTGGAGGCATTGTAAGTGTAGTGAAGATAGGAGTCGAGAGTAGGGAGGTCAGTGCAGTTGGCATATAGCTTGCTGTTTGATAATTTTTGGGAGTTGCAGGTGAGGGAATGTGCAGGAGATATTAGCAGAACCCAGAGAGAAATACATAGGATTAATGAAGAAAAGAAGGGAGACGCCATTTTCAAGAACTATAGAAGGAGAAACAGAGAGATGCCTCTGATGTGTCTTTTGAGGACTAGGGCACTTCCAGCTTTGGATGAATATATAGAAAGAAGATAAGAGGGAACTGACGGTACGGCGTCGTTTGATTAACAGATATTAATCGCTCATTCATGAAACGTTGATAATTCTTATCAGTAATTAAAGCAAGAAAAACTTTCATTGGTTTTTTTAAGGAAAGTTTCCGTAATGATGACTCAACATAAATATTCAGTGTACAAAGACAGTCTTTTCAAGTGAAAATTCTACCGTTCGAGAACACCTTTAAATATTTTTTATATTATATAAACTCTTTATTATAAATAATTTATTCATAAAAATAAGAATTTAACTGTTTTTTATTTTTTAAATATAAATTAAATAATAAATCTGAAATCAAATTTAATAAAAAATTTATTTATTTATATAAAAAATACTCTTTAAATAAAAAACATCTTTAAAGATACTTTTATGCTTTTATTATCATAAAACCCTTTCAAAATTAATTATGAAAGTAATTTTAATTGGTAAAAACTAATTAAAATTTCTATATATAATTATATATGTGAAATATACGAACCTTTTTATTCCAAATGTACGGAATCTAATCTTCTGATCAACTGTTCTCCTTTCGAATTTTGTTCAACAGCTCAAAGTACATTCCATTTGTCACCTTGCACCGGACAAGACAACCCAATCGAGTCAAGGGATATTACTGAAACGACGTTTTATTTTTCAACTGACTCTGATTCTCCTCCATCCAGTGCACGTCTTTTACGTAATGCCTTTTTAATTTTTCTTTTTTCACCCTGACCCTCGTACACTCTTAACGCACGATGAACGAGTTAAAGAGCGTTGAATTTATCAATGTGAAGTATGATTCATGCCCCTCTCAAAGAGCATGAATTACATGACTTCATGTTTTTCCTTCCCCAAAACGTTATCGACAACTCTTCTCTTTCTCACGGCAGACAATTTGGAATTTGCTCCATTCCACATTCTCTTTTGTGCCGACTGTCAAGTTTTAACTGAAATCATTAGTTTTTGTTTGAATCCCATTTTTTCCATTTTGTTAGTTAAAGTTTCGTTTGTAGCCTTTTTTTATAAGACAGATGACTTGTTATAAGAATTAGAAAATGTTACCATGATATATGTTTTTTGGTGAGCGGGGGCTTTTGTATCAATTTATACGCATCTCAGCTAATTTTTGGATTCATTGAATACCTTACAAACCCAATGGATAAGTATGATAGGTTGTTATTTATTCGAACACAAGACCTCTATGTAACTTAAGGTTTTGTCATTCGATCACAAACTATGTTTTTATTTTATCATGATTTTAGTTTAATCGAAATATTTTAATTCTTGGCATGGTCTCTTTGAATATAACTGTTTTCAAAAATTAATTTTTGTAAAATAATTAAAATTGCATAAAAACAAATTAAAATTTATCTCATTTCTTCGTAATTATGTTTAGAATTTAGATGGTCAACCAAATATTCTCTTATGACAATATTTGCTTGTTTCTGTTTATGCATTTTATTCGTTTTTCCTTTGTTTCATAGCTCCATAATTCCATTCACATGTGAAAGCACGCTAATCTTGCCCGTAAACAACCACTAATTAACATAATTAATGTTTACATTACTTATTATTATTTGTTCCAACATATTCTCTTATGACAATAATGAAGCTACAACTAATTCCAATTAGGCTAATAACGATTAGCCCAGTACACATAATTTATAAAATTAAGCAAATTAAGAATGCTAAGAAGTGCATAAAACAGATCCAAACGTGTACGATTCAGATCGTTCCCTCCAAGCCACTCTTGACCAAATTGTCCACTCACCAAATTGGTAAATGACACTAACACTGAGCTAATGAAAAACCCCATGGATGTAGAGCAACAAGACAGTGCAGTGCAAATACTTCTCATGCTATCTGGCGCCTCTGAGTAGAAGAACTCAAGCATCCCACCAAGAGTGAGCATATCAGAAATCCCAAGTAAAAGGTATTGCCACACTAGCCAAAACACTGACATTGCCGCATCATTTTGTGTTGCCGCTGAGCGCCTCTTGGCCTCTACAACAGCTGCCACAGCCATGGACCCTGACGCTAGTGCTAGCCCCAAGCCGATCCTCTTAAGTGGTAGAAAAATGTTATATTTTGGTGAAACTTTGCTTCCGAAACTGTGTACAAAACGTTCGTATAAGGGTATGGAAACAAGCATAGTTGTTAAGGGAAATACTGACAATGATTGGGTAGGAATTTTGAAATTGTTAAGTGTTCTATTCATGATGTTCCCTTGTTGCACTGAGAATGTTTGTAGCTGTGCAAGGCAGCAGTTCATCATGATTGTGCTTGCGAATATGGGAAATAGGCCAAGGAATGTCTTTGTTTCGTCTACCTCAGCTGCAGTTATGGTGTCATCACATAATGCTTTATCTAGAAACCTGCATTATTTTGTTTAATTTGTTAAATCATAATTCATGATGATATCAATCAATTACTGGAAACAGCATGCTCTAAACATGTCCAAAGTTAGTGGATTTTCAAGTGCTGACACTTCTTTTTGGTTTAATTATTAGATTCAATTCTGATTTTTGTTTTTTCTTGTTTAATTCATTGTTTGAGTATGAAATGCCAATTGCCATTGAAATCTGGAAGGCTCTGTCTGCCACTAATTCTTCCTCGTTGTTACAATCATAAATTATTGCAGCAATGATGGACGTTCCTATTTTAATAGAAGTTGTAGTCTAGCAGATGCAATTCAATTACCTGAATCTAGAAGGCCTTTTTATTTTTTTATTTTTTTAATTTTTTTTTTTTATGCATGAGTGCGGCCTTTGAGATACTGTACTTAAAAACACCTTTTTTTTTCTACGTCAGATTAAACTGCAAGATCTCTTTTAAAACACTTACCTGAGCTTGTCAGGGGTCCTTTTTGCTGCTGAAATTGCATTATGATTCCCCATCTCTACCACTGAGGCTTTCCTATGTCGAACTGCGGAAGCAAGTACCTTCACAACCAAAGCAAAAAAGTTGACATTCCACTTAGAATAATTAAGTACTACTGTGTAATGATGAAATGATGATTGATTCTGTATGGGCTTCCAGTACACCAACTTCGGTCTAGTGCCTTTACCTTAAAGATTCTTGTTAGTGCACTGCCAATGGGACGTTTGTGTCTATAAATTGGAAACCCGATTGCGAAAAGGCACAGCGCCAAACTCAGTGCAATGATAGAAATCTTAAAACTCCAGTTCCACCCTTTGTTCTCTTCGACCCAAACCATAACGGTTGCAGCAATGAGCCCACCTGTACATAGCGAAAAGAAAAACCAATTGAAAAAGGCAGAGATAAGTCGCTGGTTGGTGTGGTCAAGCTGATCAGCTCCATGTGCAGGCAATGACGCCTTGACGCCACCAACGCCAGTGGCCATTGTGTAGAGCCCGGTATAAAGAAGAGTAGCTTGAGAGCGAGACGGCCTTGTATTTATAGGAGGCTGTAAACTGCTGTATTGAGCTTGAAGTGTAAGCAGTACAAGTCCCTGTAATTGGTATATATTAATCATTCTTTGAGTTTGGGCCATTGTATTTATAATTCAAAATCATATGAATTTTGTTAAAATTCGCGCGTACCAGTAACTCGATAATACAAAATAAGATGAAGGTGGTAGATCGTGTGAAGAAAGAGTCGCTGATGAAGCCTCCAAATATGGTGAGCAAAAAAGAGGTTCCCATAAAATTGGTGACCATGTTTGCAGACTCAGCAGCTGGGTAATGCATTGACTTGAGGAAGTATACAACAAAGTTTGTTGCATTGGATAGGAAAACCATGTTCTCTAATACTTCCACAACTGCACAAACAAGTTATTACAAGATACATAAAGCCATTGGAAACACTATAATACAGTTTTTAACTATAATTATTACCGCATGCAAAGCTGGCAGCTCTAATTCCACCTTGTTTTTTAGAATCTGCCTTTCTCCCTCTCCAGTCCTCGCACTCTCCATTTTGGATGCTCATTTAAATGGTCTATTTTGTAAGAAGAAAGAATAATTAATCAAAATTATACAATAAAGAACCTTCAGCAACCAATAACACCATTAATATTATGATCCATTGTTCCAAAAACAGATAATAAAAATGTAACATGATTAAACATATGTATGAAGCAGAAAGAAATGGGTGTTTTAGCTTACCGTGGGTATTAGTTTTGGTGAGTGATGAAGAAATGGCATGCATGCATGCAGGTTGAATTCGTTTCTCTCATATATATGGAAAACCCAGATGATGAATGAGGAGATAAGAATAAATTTGATGAGTGTGTAGTGTCCACATATGGTTTGACTCCAAATTTAGCAGGTGTTGATATGATTTTAGAACACTTGTGCTAAATTAGTAGAAAAGAGTTAATGCTATTTGGGTGTACCAGATTCGGGGTATGCTTTCTTAGATTTCAATAAATTAATTACCTTATTTTAACTAGGAGAACAGTACATAAAAAGGATGGTTCCAGACCACTGTAGAACTATGCTAATTGACATATTTATTTAGTTTGGTTTCCCTTTTTACATTTCAGTCTTGAATTTGTCATTACTTTTACCCTCGCTTGGATTTAGGCATGGATTCGGTGTATTTGATAAATTTATTTTTTCGGTTTAAATATAAAATTAATAGATTGTTGATTCAAATTTTTCATGCACTCATGTTTGGTTAAATGAATACAATCTATGGATTTAATAAATAATTTTCAACTTTATTCTCAATATCTAAAACCAACAAAAATTTAACTTCCATTAATTGAATACAAGTTAAATTATATCAAATTATAGATAGAACCAGAGTTTGTTCCTGATCTATATATTGTGGGACTCATTGCTTTATAAAATGACATATATATATATATATGACAAGCTTGAAGACTATTTGCAATAGTGCCATTGATTTAATATTTCATGAAAAACAAAAAGCCACCACCAGTAAATTCTTAACTAGATAACAAAAAGAATCACTGTGATAAATTAAAAATAATTAATTAAAAGAATGAAAACTCACAAGTAGATTATTTCTCTAGTATGCTCTGAAGATGTTGATGATGTAAAAGTAAAAAGTAAAAAAAAAAAAAAACGACAATTATATTTCTTTTAATTAGGATAAAAAGTAATTATTGGAATATTAAATTATTAAGAAGATAGTATTGGAAAATTAAAATATTAACAAAATCCCTCATTTTATTAAAACTGTATGGATTTGGCAAAATCCCCCTTACCATGTAGGATTTTAAAACCCTAAAAAATGAAAGATTATGGAGGGTGATGGATTTTCCAAAATCCATAGATTTCAACCAGTTTTTTTTTTTTTTTTTAATGAAAGATTTTACTAAATCTATGGATTAAACGAAATCATTCATATAGAATCTCTCGATCCAAATGAGGCCTTAATATATATATATTTTTTAATAATCTTACATGTACAATATCTTTCTATAAATTGTTTCTTACTAATTAATCTATCATTTGGTAAATAAAGTAGTGCAAATAAAATGACAACTAAATAAATAATAATGATACCATGGTAACAATAAAAGAATTATATATTATGCTATGTTAATTTATATATAAGAGTTTGTACATTTATTATTATTTTTATATTTTATGCTGTCTATAATTTGTTCTCTCTTTATTTTTATAATTGTTTAATATTATTTAACATGTATAAATTGATTTATGATAAATGCCATTGCGATACTCCTACCACAACATAAGAGTAATACTATGTTTACTCACAATCTTACTAACCATCTTACTATCCTGTGGTATAGTACGGGTATCATATGCATAGTATTCATACTATGCGTTATATTTACACATGATAATAAGATGGTTAGTAAAATTGTGAGTATGCATAGTTTTATTGCACAATATAAACCTTTTTTCAGATGAATTAATTAATGCACGGGGTATTGTTATGGCACTTAGTTTACAATATAATCAATAATGGGTAATGTTATACTCACAATCTCTTTTCATAATTCTGACGTAATAACTTGTCATCGATCAGTTGTAATTTATTAGGTTAGATTTAAGTGAGATCCATTATGAGTTGACCAATTACACACTGTCATGTCATAATTAAGAAAAAAAGTTTATGGAAAGAGGACGATAGATGTAGCATTTCCCATCAATAATAGAAATCTGACAAGAAAAACCACATCAAAACAAGTACAATAATGTATTACTCACATGCTTTTGGCCATGTGACCTCCATGACAACTCATGCTACATTATCATTTTAGTCAAATTGGCAGAGCATTCGTTTTCCACTACTTTCAGCTATTATATACATATTTAGACCACACTTTTTTTCTTCATGGATCAGAATTTCTAAGTCACGACCCTTTAATAAGAGATTCACATTCACACCAACTGTATCCAGAAACTTAATTATTTATGTCTTATGTAAATTGTAAATTGTAAATTTTCTTTATGCAATTTATTGCACACAAATGTTATGTCCATTGTCCAGTCGAGTTGGAGATATCTTACGCCTTTCAATATTGGGCTTTTTATCTTGGGCCTATTCTATTAACTACTTGTTTTGGATCACAACCACATAGGTTCTTATAAGAAGGTTGAACTAAAGGCCCAAACGCCGTATTGCTAACTCGTACATATAACTAGCTCATCGCTTAAAACCCTAGTTTTAGCTCGCACTATCCTCTTCACTGCCCCAGGGTTTACAGCAGCAGCTCCGCACCGTTTCAGTCAGGTTCCAAAAACTAATCAATTACTCTTCGTTTTCACTATTATCTATATGATATAGTTATACGTATTGCACATAGATATGAATCGGTTGCATCTGTAACGAAATTTATGATAAGAAAGTTTGGCTTGGTATTAGGACATTTTCCATTTACCGTATTAAGACTAGCTTATATGATGTTATTGGTGGTTAGATATTTTCCTCAATTTGTAGATCTATGGCTGCCTTTGTTCATAAATATCTATTTTCTGGATGAAATTGTATTTGTGTTTAGGTTTAAGGTGCTAGGGATCTGTTTGAAAATTGATTTAATCATGAAAATAGAGTATTTAAGATATTATGCTCTTCTCAAACGAGGAACCATAGACATAAGCGTCATTTCCGAATTTCGCAATTGACTAGAATTTTCGCAAGTGATTTTGTTTTCAGTTTTAATAAATAAGTTAAAAGTGACAACTGAGAACTCAGTGTTAGATTATGTTTAGAAACGAAAATTTACATATTATTTTTTAATTGATACCTATTAGGATAAGAAAATGCTATTCTATAAGTTGTTTTCCAATTAAATAGTTTGTAGTTTTTCAGGTTCTGTATATTGTTTAGATTTCTCCTATCTGTTGCAGTTCCCTGATCAGTATCTACCAGGGGATGACTTTGTTTTCGTTTTGTATCTGATGATTTATGTGTTTTTAAGTTCCGTTGATATGTGTTAAGTTGCTCAATTTGTGTGTTTTTTCGATGTTATATTGCAGAAAAAATGGCTGTTCCTTTGTTGACCAAGAAGATAGTGAAGAAGCGTGCCAAGAAGTTTAAGAGGCCCCAGAGTGACAGAAAGATTTCTGTCAAGGTATCTCTTCCTATTTACCACAGATTATTGATTTTATTTTACTGGGAATGTCACTGCATATAGCATTACAACAATTGGTTGTGAAATATTTCCTTCTTGTTGAACCCTATGAATTGCATGAAAGTGTGATACTCCTAGTTTTTCTTCATATTCTAAGTTTTGTTGTTATCACTTTGATATTCATCCAAATGTTAGCAATTGACTCATGCAATAATGTTATGTTGCATGCATTGCCAAACATTAATCAAATGCTTCAGCATAGAAAATATTCACTTTTTTTGGGTATTAAGTTCTAGGTGTGTGCCAGTAATCAACCAAAAATAAATAAATAAATTAGATCAGTTAAAGTTTCCCAATATTTGGTCTTACTTGATACGTTTAAACTGCTGTTGATGAGACATTTATGACGACATTGTCAACTTGAAATATTTAAATCAGAAGTTGTTAGATCGCTTTTAGATTTTCTTAGGTTCTTTTTTAAAGTTTGTTTAATTGTTGTTGCAACAGGAAAACTGGAGAAGGCCTAAGGGTATTGATTCACGAGTTAGGAGAAAGTTCAAAGGATGCACCCTGATGCCCAATATTGGTTATGGCTCTGACAAGAAAACTCGCCACTATCTCCCCAATGGATTTAAGAAATTTGTTGTGCACAATGTCGAAGAGTTGGAAATTTTGATGATGCACAACAGGTGAATGTCAATTCAACATCATGGATGTTTGACAGTTTCGTTTTTCCTTGTATTCTGGTCTTGATTAGTCAACTATTTCATGCTGTCTCTTGTAGGACATACTGTGCTGAGATTGCCCACAACGTATCAACCAGGAAGAGAAAGGAGATTGTTGAGCGTGCTGCACAGTTGGACGTTGTCGTTACCAACAAATTGGCCAGGTTGCGCAGCCAGGAGGATGAGTAAACAGTGGTGGCTATATTATGTTATAATTTTTGTTTGGACTTGAATATTTTAAGCATTAGGCATTCTATCCTTTGGATCAAATGTTTTTTTTTTTTTTTTGAGGTTATTTTGTTTGGATGGTTCTTTAAGTTTGAATTATATTTTATTTCGTATTCATCTGATTGAGATCTTGGTATTTTTATTTTTTGTCTCTTGAGCTCTGTTTTAAAAGCCGGACCGGTCGGTCTAACCGGTTCGATCGGGACTCGGTTGTGTGTCCAGTCCGAACTAATATAAAACCTGCAATTACTTAAAAACCGTTTAAACCCGTTATCAAATCGGATGAGCAGTGCGACCCGCCCGGTTGAACCGGACCACTTGGTAAACCTGGTCAATGTTTAAAATGAAAAAACCTTAAATCTGATTTATTTTTCAGGCAACTCCACTTCTCCATTAATCTTCAATCTCTCAACTCTCTAAAATTGCAACTCCTTTCTTAGATAATTGCACTCAGTCTCAACTTCACTCTCTCTTGGACCCTTGCTTGACGACGGCAACACCTCCCTCGTTGGATTTCGATGATAACGCACTTCCCTTCTCCCTCGCTCGATGACGGCAACACCTCCCTCATTGGATTTCGGTGATGATGCACCTCCCTTCCTTCTCCCTTGCTCGACGACGGCAACACCTCCCTCGCTAGATTTCGGCAGCGATGCACCCACCTCCTTTCTCCCTTGCTCGACGAAGGTAGCATCTCACTCGCTAGATTTCGGTGACGACGCACCTTCCTTCTCCCTTGCATGACGATGATGGATGACGACGCCTCTCTCCTTCGCTGGAATCGACGACGACAACACTTCTCCTACTCAAAATTAATGAAGACGACGCCTTTCTCTTTTGTAAAGATATTTCCACTTTTTTTTTTATGAATCTATTGCTTTGATGGATAATTTGTTCACTGAATTTGTATGTTAAAAACACTTGCGGTTTTGTTATTAATGAAAGTTTCGCTTCTGGCATTGGTCTTCAACCTTTGACTTAAAGGAAATTAGAAGTGATGGTTGCCTCAAGAGAAAGGTTATCTTGCTCTGGTTGTTGCACTCGGTTCCACTTACTCTCCAAGGAGTACCGCTAGTTGTGGAACTTTATATATGTTCTTCCACTAGAAGGATATTACATTTTCCTGGGAACACAATGGCTTCAGACTTTAGGGCTTGTCATTTGGGACTTTTCAAGAATGATAATGAGGTTTTGCCTTAATGGAAAGGAAGTTACTTTGCGTGGATCATCAACAGCAGAAGATGGGGTTGTAGATAATTTCATGATTGAGAAAGTAACCTGGAAAAGGAGGCGAGGGATTTTTCTCCAAATCAAGGGACTTGAGATTGAGGCAACGAATGAGAAGGTGCTTCTACCAGAAATAAAGCAACTCTTTGACCGTTTCTACAATCTTCAATGAACCCAAGGAATTACCTCCAATCAGGCTTCATGACCATCAAATTCCCTTACAAGAGGGACATAACTAAGTCTCTATTTGACCCTATAGATACCCACATTTCCAAAAGATTGAGATCGAAAAGATTGTGTTGAAGATGTTAACTTCTGGAGTCATACGGCTAAGTACAGGCCCATATTCATCCCCTGTTATCCTTCTCAAAAGCATGACGGTTCGTGAGGAATGTTTGTCAACTACCGTGCTTTGAACAAAATCACAATCAAAGATAAATTCCCAATTTCGGTTATATGTATTTTATCATTTAATTTGTAATGGATGATGTTTGGAGACTTAATTTGTAATGGATGATGTTTGGGGACTTTGGATTGTAGTTAAATTGGGATTGTTATTGAGTTTGAATTGGGTAGTAATTAAGTTGGTATTCTAAAATTTTCAAAAAAAAAAAACCACATCAAAACAAGTACAATAATGTATTACTCACATGATTTTGATCATGTGACCTCCATGACAACTCATGCTACATTATCATTTTAGTCAAATTGGCAGAGCATTCGTTTTCCACTACTTTCAGCTATTATATACATATTTAGACCACACTTTTTTTCTTCATGGATCAGAATTTCTAAGGCACGACCCTTTAATAAGAGATTCACATTCACACCAACTATATCCAGAAACTTAATTATTTATGTCTTATGTAAATTGTAAATTGTAAATTTTCTTTATGCAATTTATTGCACACAAATGTTATGTCCATTGTCCAGTCGAGTTGGAGATATCTTACGCCTTTCAATATTGGGCTTTTTATCTTGGGCCTATTCTATTAACTACTTGTTTTGGATCACAACCACATAGGTTCTTATAAGAAGGTTGAACTAAAGGCCCAAACGCCGTATTGCTAACTCGTACATATAACTAGCTCATCGCTTAAAACCCTAGTTTTAGCTCGCACTATCCTCTTCACTGCCCCAGGGTTTACAGCAGCCGCTCGGCACCGTTTCAGTCAGGTTCCAAACACTAATCAATTACTCTTCGTTTTCACTATTATCTATATTGTAGTTATATGTATTGCACATAGATATGAATCGGTTGCATCTGTAAGGAAATTTATGATAAGAAAGTTTGGCTTGGTATTAGGACATTTTCCATTTACCGTATTAAGATTAGCTTATATGATGTTATTGGTGGTTAGATATTTTCCTCAATTTGTAGATTTATGGTTGCCGTTGTTCATAAATATCTACTTTCTGGATGAAATTGTATGGTTTAAGGTGCTAGGGATCTGTTTAAAAATTGATTTAATCATGAAAATAGAGTATTTAAGATATTATGCTCTTCTCAAACGAGGAACCATAGACATAAGCGTCATTTCCGAATTTCGCAATTGACTAGAATTTTCGCAAGTGTTTTTGTTTTCAGTTTTAATAAATAAGTTAAAAGTGACAACTGAGAACTCAGTGTTAGATTATGTTTAGAAACGCAAATTTACATATTATTTTTTAATTGATACCTATTAGGATAAGAAAATGCTAGTCTATAAGTTGTTTTCCAATTAAATAGTTTGTAGTTTTTCAGGTTCTGTATATTGTTTAGATTTCTCCTATCTGTTGCAGTTCCCTGATCAGTATCTACCAGGGGATGACTTTGTTTTCGTTTTGTATCTGATGATTTATGTATTTTTAAGTTCTGTTGATATGTGTTAAGTTGCTCAATTTGTGTGTTTTTTCGATGTTATATTGCAGAAAAAATGGCTGTTCCTTTGTTGACCAAGAAGATAGTGAAGAAGCGTGCCAAGAAGTTTAAGAGGCCCCAGAGTGACAGAAAGATTTCTGTCAAGGTATCTCTTCCTATTTACCACAGATTATTGATTTTATTTTACTGGGAATGTCACTGCATATAGCATTACAACAATTGGTTGTGAAATATTTCCTTCTTGTTGAACCCTATGAATTGCATGAAAGTGTGATACTCCTAGTTTTTCTTCATATTCTAAGTTTTGTTGTTATCACTTTGATATTCATCCAAATGTTAGCAATTGACTCATGCAATAATGTTATGTTGCATGCATTGCCAAACATTAATCAAATGCTTCAGCATAGAAAATATTCACTTTTTTTGGGTATTAAGTTCTAGGTGTGTGCCAGTAATCAACCAAAAATAAATAAATAAATTAGATCAGTTAAAGTTTCCCAATATTTGGTCTTACTTGATACGTTTAAACTGCTGTTGATGAGACATTTATGACGACATTGTCAACTTGAAATATTTAAATCAGAAGTTGTTAGATCGCTTTTAGATTTTCTTAGGTTCTTTTTTAAAGTTTGTTTAATTGTTGTTGCAACAGGAAAACTGGAGAAGGCCTAAGGGTATTGATTCACGAGTTAGGAGAAAGTTCAAAGGATGCACCCTGATGCCCAATATTGGTTATGGCTCTGACAAGAAAACTCGCCACTATCTTCCCAATGGATTTAAGAAATTTGTTGTGCACAATGTCGAAGAGTTGGAAATTTTGATGATGCACAACAGGTGAATGTCAATTTAGCATCATGGATGTTTGACAGTTTCATTTTTCCTTGTATTCTGGTCTTGATTAGTCAACTATTTCATGCTGTCTCTTGTAGGACATACTGTGCTGAGATTGCCCACAACGTATCAACCAGAAAGAGAAAGGAGATTGTTGAGCGTGCTGCACAGTTGGACGTTGTCGTTACCAACAAATTGGCCAGGTTGCGCAGCCAGGAGGATGAGTAAACAGTGGTGGCTATATCATGTTATAATTTTTATTTGGACTTGAATATTTTAAGCATTAGGCATTTTCTGTCCTTTGGATCAAATGTTTTTTTTTTGAGGTTATTTTGTTTGGATGGTTCTTTAAGTTTGACTTATATTGTATTTCATATTCATCTGATTGAGATCTTGGTATTTTTATTTTCTGTCTCTCGAGCTCTGTTTTAAAAGCCGGACTGGACTGGTCGGTCTAACCGGTTCGATCGGGACCCGGTTGTGTCCGGTCCGAACTAATATAAAACCAGACTTAAAAACTGTTTAAATCCATTATCAAATCGGATGAACAGTGCTTCCCGCTTGATTGAATGGGATCGCCTGGTAAACCGTGTCGATGTTTAAAATGAAAAAACCCTAAATCTGATTATTTTTCACACAACTCCACTTCTCAATTCTCTTCGATCTCTCAACTCTCCAAAATCGCAACTCCCTTCTTAGATAAGTGTACTCAGTCTCAATTCAATCTCTCAACTCCACTCTCCCTTGGACTCTTGCTCGACGACGGTAGCACCTCCCTCGCTGGATTACGATGATAACGCACTTCCCTTCTCCCATGCTTGACGACGGCAACACCCCCCTCGCTGGATTTCGGTGATGACGCACCTCCTTTCTTTCTTGTTTGACGACGGCAGCACCTCCCTCGCTGGATTGCGTCGCTCGACGACGGCAACACCTCCCTAGCTGGATTTCGGCAGCGATGCAACTCCCTTCTCCCTTGCTCGACGAAGGCAGCATCTCACTCACTGGATTTCAGTGACAACGCACCTCCCTTCTCCCTTGCACGATGACGACGCCTCCCTTCTTCGCTGGAATCGACAACGACAACACTTCTCCTACTCAAAATCAACGAAGACGACACCTCTCTCTTTTGTAAAGATATTTCCACTTTTTTTTTTTTTTTTTTTTTTTTTTTTTTTTTTTTTTTTTTTTTTTTATGAATCTATTGCTTTGATGGATAATTTGTTCACTGAATTTGTATGTAAAAAACACTTGCAGTTTTGTTATTAATTATTATGTATTTTATCATTTAATTTGTAATTGATGATGTTTGGAGACTTAATTTGTAATGGATGATGTTTGGGGACTTTGGATTGTAGTTAAATCGGGATCGTTATTGAGTTTAAATTGGGTAGTAACTAAGTTGGTAGTATGAAATTTTCAAAAAAAAAAAAAAAAAGGAAATTTTGTTTTGGCTGTACTAACATCACTGGTCCAACGGCCGGTCTAACCGGTTGGACTGGTTGACTTGTGACTTGGGCAGTGTAATGGATTGCCCTCTGATCCGAGTTTTAAAATAATGTTCTTAAACATTAGCTAAAGTAATCTCTGTTTGGTAGTTTTTCAAAATCATTTTGAGGTGACATGTTTTACTTTTTTTTTTTTTTTTGAGGTGCCACTATTATCATAAAATATCAATAGATAATGGTTTAGATGTTTGATAATTAATTTCAAGAGTTATTGATGGTTCTACTACTACATGGGTTGGTTGTAACTTGTAAATACCAATTTAGATTGAATGTATTATATAATAGAAAATTTTCAAGTTTGGCAGAAGATAATCCATTGTTTAATTAGACAAGTTATTGGGATGGAGATTCATATTCAGTTATTTAAACTTCTTCTCTGGATATATACATACGACGTATATAATTAGATTTCCGTGTGGGGTTATGTTCTTAACGAAAGTTCAGCTACAAGCTAGTCGTCGTCTTTCTAGAAGATTACTTGTTCTGTGTTGGGCAAGTCAAGCTTAATTAAAATTGTTTTGAATTTCAAAATTCCAGAATATCAAAATGTCTTAATATCATTAAAACTGTGATAATTTGTATTGATTGAACAATTTGTGATGGGAATTGTTGTAAGCATGAATTTTCTTTAATATTGTGATGTGAATGAAAAATATATACGGAGGAGAAAGTCGTTCATACTAACGTTAACGTAACCAATCAGTTACTGCCATTTGGGAATGCTATTTTGTCACGATGAGAGAATTCCATCAGGTAAAACGCATTAAAAACCAACTGGTTGTTAATCAACACGAAGAGTTCAGTTTTTCTTCCGTAATAAATATCACAGCTTATAGTTAGTAGTTGGCAGGAACCAGAACCTACCTTAATTTCTCGCTGTTATCGTGGTTCCTTTGACTAGTCACAGAATGCGCAACATTCTGATGTTACTACATTAACAGTGATCGTTGGAACTTCTCAACTATGAAAAGAAACTTTATAGCTACTATGACAAATGCGTTATACGGGTCAAAAATAGTGGGAGAAAAAATTGCAAAACACAAGACAAATATTGATTTCATCAAAATTTCGCCCTACATATTTGACGATCATCTTTTTGCCTACCCATGTGACTGTGGGAATATTATACGGGTACTTTTTCCAATTATATAAATAAATACTTCTATCACTTACTTAGTCTCTAACTACAATAAAGTAAAATAATAAAATTACTTCACTGGACGAAATCAAGTAATCAACCCACCAACTTTACCATACAAATCCCCTCTCAACAAAATGTAAATTTAAAACATGCATGTTGCAATTTTACTTTCTCCAATTACTTTATAAGCAGTTTGATAGAATGTTTTTTTTACCATTCGCATTAAAAAAGGAGGCAATACAAGTCATTTGCCTATCACTCAGCTATGACTTTTCGCATGAATGGACATATCAATTTAAGAGGTAGTTAAAGTGTTTATGGCACTAAATTAGACTTTGCAAAGCCTTATTATCCCGTACACTTTTTTCGCTTATTTCCTTCACCATATTTAATTTTCTACTTGCTTTTATTAAAGCCAATATCCAATACCAACAAATCATGTGAATGTGACGAAAAATGCAACCGCACATTGAATGATCAAAGTTATTTGGTCATGGAAGAAACAAAAATCACGTTTGTCGAGGATGCCTTTAAGGAATCCCCGCTGGCTCTTTGCTTTAGCAATTGAAATTATTGGCTTGGATTGAAACAACAATTTTCGGTAGGTAGTCCTGGCTATTCCAAAATATTAATATGGTGGGGGCATACAAGGAGACGTCTTCCTCCTTTAAATTTTAGCATCGTCAATTTAGTATAGGTCATCCGCAAAAGTTACCCATAAAACTAAATTATTGCCATTGTCGGCTAACACTTAATATTACCAGGCCCACTGCAATTTTATCTATTGCCAAAAAACAAACTATGGAAACTGGTGGTCCATCTGCCGAATTGATGTTTCAATATGTAAAAGCCAATAATTTTTTTTTTTTAAAAAAAAAAAAAGGGACCGCATTAACTGTTATTACTAGGAAGCACCAAGTTGATTTTTAAATTATAAGTTTGATGCGATTTACTCCAAAATTGACCAAGTTTGGTCAAATCTTGATCACGCTGAAATAATCAGCTTATGCATATTAGGATTGCCAATTGGCATAACAGTTGTGATGCATAGCATTACGACGAACGGTAATAGCGCAATTTAAAATTACTTGTTGGATTGGATTTTGTTTCCTTGTGTTACGGTCCTTTATGGATTATTGGAGTTTCTAGAAATGTTTTCATTGTTTTGGCAATGAAAACATGGTTTAATGTTGAAGGCCGAAAGAGTTTAACATAATCTATGGGATATCATATCTGAGAATTGCGAATGAAGCATGCCCTTTGGCTTTTTCGTTAGTTAGGACCTGCCATTTGAATTAATTGAGGAATGCCTCCATCCTTAAATGAAGGAGATACTGTTACCCACCAAATATCATTACCAATTTCCCAGATATTTAAACTAATCAACGTACAAACATATCGTACCAAGCATGAATGGTCACATCAAACGATGAGAAAGAGAAACTATGAAAAAATAAAAATCAGGAATCTAATTCTCATATACAACTACAGATTTTATATTAAAAGACAGAAAAATGATCGGTTTCGGGGAGTTGGTGACTTAAACCATTACTCCACACCCCTTTATTAACAATCACTGCATCAGTTTTATTCCTTTCATTACCTTCACCTTCACCTTCACCATCACCACTGCCTGAGAATATTCCTTGGACGAATGACTCCACATCTATTTCTTTTATTCTTTTATTCTCCAACTCACTACAAGGGATATACGGTGGTCTAACCATTTTTAACAGTAAATCCCAATCCATCCCTCTAAAAAAATCGTGGCGCTTGATTCCCTCTACTCCAATCCTCTTCTTTGGATCTTTTTCCAACAATTTCCTGATTAAGTTCCTCAACGCCGTCGGTTCACCCATGAGTTCAACCGGTCTGCATAAAATCCGATAAAATGTCTCTTTCCTATTGCTTCCCTTAAACGGCGTCACTCCATATAACATTTCGTGGAGAACGATTCCTAAGGACCACCAATCTGCTGTAAAATCGTGCCCCTCACCTGATATGATCTCTGGTGCCACGTACTCCTCCGTTCCCACGAACGAGTTAGACTTCTCCGTCGAGTGGTCCGAGTCTCCTTTCGACACTGTCTTGAAACTATGTTGCGCTGAAGAGACCGAGTCTTCAGGAGAAATGCCAGAGTTGCAAATGCTACGAAAGAGCGGTCGTCTTTTCTTTTTGACGGAGTCGGAAGGTCTTTTCGTAACGGGGGTAGGAGTCTTTTCTGGACAAGACTCTGGAGATTTCGGAGATAGTTTTGTGGAGAGATCGAAATCGACTAACATTATGTGGCCGTTCTCTTGAATCATTATGTTCTCAGGTTTCAAATCTCTGTACACTATGCCTTGATTGTGAAGATACTCCAATGCCAGAACCATCTCCGCAGCATAAAATCTGTAAATTAAAATAATGAATATGATCTTCGTTAAAATAACGTTACGTTACCGGATAAAAGTTTTATCAAAAAAAGAAAAAAAGAAAATGTAAATTTTACCTGATAGTATCATCGGAGAACATTTTCTCAGTCTGCTTTTTCCTGAGAAAATTCATATCACGCCCTGGACAATAGTCAATAGCGTGGCCGATAATTTTTTCGGTAGATAAAACTCCTCGTAATCTGGGTAGAAGTGGATGATCAAAAGACTGTAACACTTGTTGCTCAAAGGAAACCCTCTTGTAATCATCTTCGTCATTATTGTTATCGTTTGAATCCTTGTTTTTGTTCTCAATCAAATCCCTCCATATGACCTTAAGGGCCAAAAACTCACTCAATTCCTCGTCTTTAACCAGAAAAACCACTCCCTTTGCTCCACGCCCGAGCGCTGATACCACTTTCAATCGCTGGAAATCTAAACTTGGGACTCGATATTGTCGGTGCTCGTTTACGTCGTCATTCATAGCGAGAGTGATTGAGATGGATAAACTGGAGAGAATCGTTTGGTTATTTAGGTTTGGTGGGCAAGTAACTAGGTTGGTTTGTTGTGTACCGCGTTTTAAAGGGGGGGCGAGGGAAACCTTTGCTTGCTGAGGAAGTATTGAGTCAGCATGGAAGACATGTGGAGATGATGGTGGAATTTTTACATGTGGCGTTATATGGATTGTTCGATTGAAATTGCGATACGTAGTTACGTGTTAAGTAGTTCTAGAAATTAATGCTATAAGAGACAAGAAGGAATGATCAGACTTATTGCCAACGCCAGTTACCGTATAAGTAGGTGAATGTGAATCCTCATTTAGTTGATTTAGAAAAATTTATATACTTATTACTTTCATTTGAAACTAATTTTATGATAAACTGTTGTTCTATAAATACTTAACAGTTTTGTTAGTTTTCCAAAAAAAAAAAAAAATTATTTATGATTCCCCATGAAATTTTACTTGAATAAATATAATGCAAATTCAAATAAATTTAAGGGTTTTTATGAAAATAAATCAATTGAGTTGCGTTATTAAAAAATGACACAACCCTCAATATATTTTGTGTTATTTAAATATATGATTTAGACACATTTTCTTTGGTTGCATTTTAAGTTATTTAAATATTATGATTTAGACCCGTTGTGTTTACCTGGGGATGTAACATATAGCATCTTCTAGAATTATAACACGCTACAAAGTGTTTAAATTAATCGCATCTAATCTAAGTCTCCTTTGAGAGTCAACATTAATAAATCTTTAATTCAATATCTCTAAATCAAATCTATAGTGAAATTTATATTGAATTCAGTTTATATTGTCTCCAATTCTCCGGCTGACCGCAGCCATTGACCACATACTATATGTATAATGTATTTTTTTATTATGATTAATATAATATTTCTCAATTCTAGTACTTGGTACCAAAAAGACGGCACTTTCATAAATTAATTGAAGAACTTCGCCGTCAATTCTTAAAAGGAGTCAATTATTTTACACTGGCCAATCTTTTATTTTTTGTTTCCTTTATACGTTTTCTCAGCTAACAAACAGAGAAATAACTTCGTATGCCTCCAAGCAGTTCCTTTTCCTTCACTTTAATGCTTTTATTCATTCTTTTTCAATTTAATTTAATTTTGAGTAACATCATTGTTTCTATTGATTAAAAATCATAACATCACTATATGTTTAGTGGTTGCATAATGACAGGATTCATTACGTCTAATTAAAACTGTATAATTATATCATGTAAAATAGCAAATTTATTATAGTATAAAATTATCAAAAAATACAAATTATAAATGGGATGGAAATCCATCCAGGTATCCCTGGACAGACCCAATAGGTCTGCCCATGGTCTCACGTATGGACTTGTGTGAGTTTTCTAACTCGTATGAGTCATTGAGTTGATCATACTTGTGTAGTTTGTCTTCCCCTGTTGCCATGTGTTAATTACACCTAATTTTAAATTAATTGCACATTAATATTCTTATAGGCCAAACGACTTGCGCATTCTCAAGGTTTGTCGAAACGATAAGTTGGTACCTAAAAAGTTTTAAAACAATAAATAGGTACCTTCCGTTATGTGCTGTTAGTGATTTTTGTTTGTTAACAGTGAAAAGACTAAAATGCCTTTGAAGTTTGATATTTTAGTTTTTTTAAAATTTTAAAGAACCCCCTAGGTTTGCTAATTTAACTAAACACCCCCATATAAAAAGTTTGTTAAATGACAAAAACACCCTCACCACCTACGGCCAGATTCCGGCCACCACCGCCGGAATCTGGCCGGAAATTGTGTTACGACACAGACCCCGTCGGATCTGTGTCACAACGCGCCAATATGGCCTTTTCCGGCTAGATCTAGATCCGTGGGTGATCTGGCCGGAAAAGGCCAGATCTACGACTAAATCTGGCCGTCGTGGCCGCAAAACTCCATATGCGGCGTCGACGGCCAGATCAGCCACGGATCTGGCCGGAAAAGGCTAGATCGGCGAGTTACGACACAGATCCGACGGGGTCTGTGTCGTAACGCAATTTCTGGCCAGATTCTGGTGGTGGTGGCCGGAATCTGGCAGCAAGTGGTGGGGGTGGTTTTGTCATTTAACAAACGTTTTATATATGGGGGTGTTTAGTTAAATTAACAAACCTAGGGGGTTTTTTAGAAATTTTAAAAAAACTAAAATATCAAACTTCAAGGGCATTTTAGTCTTTTCACTGTTAACAAACAGAAATCACTAACAGCACATGACGGAAGATACCTGTTTGTCATTTCAAAACCTTTTAGGTACCAACTTATCGTTTTGACAAATCTTGGGTATGCGCAAGTCATTTGGTCAATTCTTATAATACAATTTAGACTCATTCAATTATTGTATATATAGTAGTGAGGATGATTTATTAAATTTGAACTAATTTTGGCACTTCAGTAAATGGGAAATCCCGTCGTTGGAATAGGAAGTGGTGTCCTCCCCTTTGACCCCAATTTAATTAATTTTTAGAAGAAAAAAAATTCCTAATTTTGTTTTTGGATAATTACGAAATTTTCGAATTGGCTAAATATTTTGTCTCGTAATTTTATATTAACAAAATAATATGCTTGTTATGTGGAGCCATGGAGGGGACTTTCAAATTTTATTCAAATTCAAAACTTATCCAATTCAAACAATAATTCACACAGATAATGGTTAATTATTGATAGAGTGAGGTAAATCCGATAATTGCGTTTGGTTGTTATAGACATTGGGTTAAATTTCCGAAAATTCGGGCAATTCTCTAGCCTTTATAGCTTGAGTAATCCTATATCGTTTGGCAAATGACCTACACTTAGATTTCCTGGTAATTTTATTGATAATTTCAAGGTAATGTAAAAAGTCTTACTTTTTTATTTTATTTTATTTATTTATTTTATAAAATAGATTAAAAAATTCAATAAAGATTTATTCACAATCAAATCTTATAAATATCTTCTCACAATCCTAATATGACAATTCACAATTAAATAATAGAACCTGTAATTGAGCATACGAAACCCATTATTAGATAAACAATTGTGAGTTGTTATATCAAGATTATGAGAGAAAATTTGTGAGATTTGATTGTAAGTATAGTATTATCTTTAAAAAAATTAATTAAACCAACTCATCAATCTATATATTATATTTCACAATTACCTAATATCAATGCATTAAAATATCACAAAAATAAAGATATTAAAGAGTCCCTACGCAACTTTAGTGATAATTATTGGGAGAACGACACTACCCACCCACCAAGTTTCAAAATGACAATTTTCCGCCCACCATGCATTAACCTTAATTGAAGAAGGACAAAATGGTAAATTTATAAAATAGTCACAGACTAATGAAGTCATTTCACCCCCTATATATAAAATTAAAGAAACCCTACCTTTCTTCCTTACCCCTCCACACCCCACAGTCGTTCTCCACGCCTCCCCACCCCTATCCACCCCACGGTGTTATCTTCTCCATGCGATTCGGCTGGAATTGCATTCGACCAGGTGTGATTCTGGCCTCCACACCCCACCTTCGTTCTCCACCCCCTCCGCATCCTTCTCCACCCCACCGCCCCAAAATTGCAAACACTGTTAGGTGGGAAAATTAGTTTGCAACGAAAATCTCTGAGAAAACAGTTGTGCTAACGCTACTTCTAGCAACGAAATCCCTTGCTTGTTCGTTAGACTAATTAATGGCATCCTTTTGATTGCTGCAATTCCATTTTTTGTTTTTAGTGGAGAAGCTTCAGTAATAGTAATTGCTCATACTTTGTTCTTGTTTATCTCAATACCTAGGTGGCGCACTAGTAATCCTAAAAAACTCCTAGCCCTCACTCCGCTCCGAATGCACACTTGATTGAATTGGTTCATTTTCAAACCATCTTATCGCATTCAAAAGTTTTCCTTAAATCGGCCAAGTGTTATTCATCTTCAAGCTGCCGCATTCTAAGAATTTTATGTTGAACTACACGTCTTGTTCACCTTAGCCTTACTCTAAAAAATAACTCTATCATTATAGCATATATAATCTATGCGGCTATCTTTCTTCAAGTGAGAGATAGGATTGAAAAACCATCGCCCAAAGGTGCTTTTACGAAAGCCGGTCATGGTGGCTAAGAACCATTTCTCATTTGTGATGTGAAGTAAAGCCGCATTTTGATTTTCTAATTTGTTTGTGTTCAGTGAGTAAATCGAGATTCTCTTAAGAGAGAAGGTAGCTTTTTGTCACGAGCTGGACTTTAACCAATACTCCAGGCATTCAACCCGCGGACTTCCTTTATTTGAACGTGATTTTTTGTTACCCTGCTTCCCTTAAACCCAATGTTTATCTGCTGTGTGTTGTTGATTGGTGTTTGGGTGGTCGAATTTAGGTTGTTCGGTGATGGATTTTTTGTCGGATCCTTGTTTACTTGATGGTGCATTTCCAAAAAAAAAAAAAAAAAAAAGTGTTTGCTTGATGGTGGATTTTTGGCTGGATTTGTGTTACTTTGTGATGGATTTGGGTTGAGCATCTATGGGTTATTTGGTGGCCTCGCCGGCGATTTGCAGCAACATGAGTCGACAACTGCTATTCCTTGTGATTCTGGCCAACTATTTTTGTTCAGATTTTTTTTTCAAACTAAGGGTTTGGATTTTGATTCAAATAATAAAGGGTGTTTTCATCTTTACTGTAAGGCCGAACGAATTATGCATACCCAAGGTTTGTCAAAACGACAAGTTAGTACCCAAAGGTTTTGAAATAATAAATAGGTACATTTCGTCATGTTCTGTTAGTGATTTTCATTTGATAATAGTGAAAATACTAAAATACCCTTAAAAGTTTAATATTTTGGATTTTTATAAATTTAAAAATTTCTAAAAAACCCCCTAAGTTTGCTAATTTGACTAAATACCCCAATATATAAAATTTTTATAAAATAACAAAAACACCCCCACCACCTGCAGTGCCAGATTCCGGCCACCACCGCCGGATTCTAGCCGGAAAATTGCGTTACGACACAGACCCATTGGATTTGTGTCGTAACGGGTAGATCTTTCATTTTCTGGCAAGATCCGTGGCTGGCCAAATATGGCCGTCGAGACCGAAAACTTGCCGGAAAATTGTGTTACGACACAGATCCATCGGATCTGTGTCGTAACACGTAGATCTTTCATTTTCCGGCCAGATCTGGCCGTCGAGGCCGAAAAAGGCCAGATCGGTGTGTTACGACATAGATCCGATGGGTCTGTGTCGTAACACAATTTTTCGGCCAGATTCCGGCGGTGGTGGTTGGAATCTGGCACTGTGGGTGGCGGGGGTGTATTTGTTATTTTATAAAATTTTTATATATTGGGGTATTTAGTCAAATTAGTGAACCTAGGGGGTTTTTTAGAAATTTTTAAATTTATAAAAAACTAAAAATTAAACTTTCAAGGGCATTTGAGTCTTTTCACTATTATCTAACGAAAATCACTAACAGAACATGACGGAAGGTACCCATTTGTCGTTTCAAAACCTTTTGGGTATTAACTTGTCGTTTCAACAAACGTTGGGTATGTATAAGTCGTTCTCCCTTACTGTAATCATACCATGTCAGTTAACAGAATTTACTAACGGGTCTTAACTGTGGGTGGGAAAGTGTTGTTTTGAAACTTTAAGGGTGGGCATGTCTTTTCGCCAAACCTTGGGTGGGAAATGTCGTTCTCCCGTAATTATTATTTATTTACGCAGACTAGCACAGCCTCTGACAAATAATTCTCACTTGTGGATCGATTCGGATAAGCCACCAAACTACCGGTCACCGTTAGGCTTTATCTTCCTCAAACCAGAACCAGTTAAATTGTTATAGACAAAAGCATGGCGACACGCTTGCCAAACTTTAATACTTGATATGGCGGCTACTCGAAGAAGGCTTGACGTTCTCTGCTCTCATTTACGCACGACCGATTCCCCTCCAACTCCTACTCTTTTTACAGGCGTTTCCCTCTCGTTTTGCGCGTCCGGTGAACAGCGATTGAGCGATTCTAACGTAGTTACTCAAAACAACGACTGCGTTTTTTGCAAGATTATCCGAGGTGAATCCCCGGCTTTTAAGGTATATTTTATTTCAGGTTTAGAAAAAAATTACGCGATAAATTTAGGAAGCCTTTATTATTTTTAACTTGAATTCATTATTGCAGCTTTTTGAAGATGATATGTGCCTCTGTATTTTGGATACTAATCCACTGAGTCGTGGGTAAGGTATTACGTATTCAATATTCATTTGATTGTTAAATGTATTCAAATTAATTAGCGCTACGAGTTGCATCCTCTCCACAAAACTAATATTAATATTTATTCAGGACTGTTAAAATTTATTTTGTAAATTGCGGCTCTGATGGACTAGAATTAGACACGTTAGCCTTTTTTTTCTTTCTTTCAGAAAGCAAAGATTCCAGAGAGGAATTTGGGTTCTACTACCTTACATGTCACATGAGATTATTAATTGATTACACGTTGATTTGATTATTTAGTAAAATATGCTGTGTACTCATTGGATTTTTACATATGTTTCTTAGGCATTCGCTTATTATCCCAAAATCTCATTTTCCTTCCTTGGAAGCAACTCCTCCATCTGTAAGTACCCTTAGAATTGTTTTGGTCAATCTGTTTTAATCATTTATGGCTTACACTGCATTGCTATAGTTACTTTATGTTACCTGGACTCTTGTAAAACTTCTAGTAGTTCGGTTTTAATGATAGATTTTTTCTTGGAAATTCTTTGGTGGATGTCCATTTGCGGTAATTTAATGTATTCATTGACATACCTGCAACTACGTGCATTTTGTAATGGATATTGGAAGAACATTTGAGGAGATTAATAATTCTTTTAAATGTGTAGAGTTCATATCTTCTTTGATCAAACTATCTCATTTCCTTTTGTTATTTCTGGCCCATTTTCGTGATGTTATTCAGGTGATTGCTGCAATGTGTTCCAAAGTGCCTATTATCAGCAATGCAATCATGAAAACAACGGCTTCTGGTGTGTATTAAACTTTCTTTACTGCAGTTATAATCAATTTGTCTCTCACTCCCTCTCCCCCTGGGTTTTTTTTTTCCTATTAATGTCTTGGCTATAAAATATATAAAAATTATACATTAGTTGTTTGAGATTTTTATTGGCCTTGTAAATTTTATTTTGTACCAGTGTTTTAAGAGTTAAACTCCGCTCAACTTTGGGGTTGGTCTCATGAATCTAATGACACCTGTGTGCATGTGCATAAATGCACAGTTATGTTTATTTTTGCATGAATTATATCTTCATATGAAGTGCCGGTTCGTAAAATAACATGCTTTTTGCTTTTCATTTGTTGATTTGATATTGTGTATGAGGTGGCTGGTTTTAGGTTCCTCAAACAAGTAGGTAAACTACAGGGGGATTAGTTATTTACATGAAATGGTGATTGTCTGTGTCATTGCATGATGTGGTCAATGATTTCTAGAATGATCTACATAGCACATAGGGCCTGGGGGAAGATTCAGTTGTTGTGCAGATATTCACTTTGACTCTTCTAATAAGAGGAGCAATTCATGATCATCCTCTTAAAACTTAACAGTTTTCTATTGAAAACTTTAGTGCTGTTACTTCTTGAGGAAAACAGCACTTAATTAACATGTTCACTCCAATTTTACCAACTGATGGGTGCTTTTAATTTTCCAAGAGAAATATGGATGACATCCTATTGTATAATATAACAGTACTGTTATAAATTATCTACTGAAACTCTTCCTACCAGCAGGTAATCTTTTCTAATTGAAAATCTGATTCTTGCAGATTCATTCAACTTGCTGGTTAACAATGGTGTAGCTGCAGGGCAAGTTATATTTCATGTAAGTTGTATAAGTTTCAGACAAAAAGTATTTGTAGCGATGTATGGTTCTGTTGCAGACATATAATGGAGTGCTTACTTTATTGAAGTTAGAAATAGTTGTTTTGGGATATTGTTAAGGTTCATTGAGGAAGACTTTAAGGTCTGATTGATTTTGCTTATTGAAATGTGAAAATTTCAGACTCATATCCACATAATCCCCAGAAAAGCACGTGATTGCTTGTGGGCTTCTGAGGTAAGCACTATCCAGTTACATTAATTTTAGAACTGAGGACAAAGCTTTTAGTTGAAAGGAATAACAATGTTGAAGTTTTACAGAGTTTGAGGCGGCATCCCCTAAAGTTAGACCAGGAAACTTCTCGACTTGCAGACCAAGTACGGAAACAGTTATCAAACATTTCTGAAGATACCAAGGGTATAGAATCCAGTCTATCATGAATCTTGATGTTAGCGGGATCAGAATGTTATGTTGTAGTTTATAAATTACATTATCATTGTGACATGTCATATATGGTCATTCTTTTAAGTTTCTTGCCTGACTTGCAATCAGGTGCTAGAAAATTTGGTATCCATAGATACTACTGGTTGCCTCTCTGTGCCTGTCTCTGTTTGTGTAGGTGAGAGAGGGACAGGAGGATATAGGGTGGGGCAAGGGTCATCTTCGTGGTTGAGAAATTGCCATGTCTTTGATTTGATCTTTGTCATCTTCATTGCTCTGCCATCTGAGTATTTTGCGCTTGAACACCATCCATATTGAGTATGAACATCATCCTCATGAATCTGGATAACCACTTTGTTCTAGCGTTTCTGCTCTTTCACCTTCTTTGAAATAACGCAGGATCAGTTGCTATTTAGCCTTGTTATTCCTGTGATTAGTCTACCTCACACTTAATGATTGCTATTTTGTTTTTGAGTACTTATTCTAGGTTACAATGGCAGGTTATAAAATGTTTTAGATAAACATTATATATTTATATATACTTTCAAATTAAAAAGTATTTTCTATATAAACACTTGTAAGCACACCTTGTACCACTGGTGATCTGGGTTCACGAGATAAAAAGTTTCAATACATAACTAGTTTTAGCGCCACCAAAGTCCAAATACGAATTTGCATTTTGTTGAAATTGAGCGCGTCTGTACTCCGTGGTGCAATCACAATTGAAAATTGAAATAACATTCAATAGCGTATTGATTGGTATATGTCACGATCCCAATTTCTCTAATAAGTAATAATTCACCATAGTATACCTATAAAATCGATATTTTATATTTATTAAAACATCAACCCATAACTAATTTGAGTAAACGACTTTTTCTCACCTAAACAATTTCAAAATATCATTTTTTCACCCAAAGTTTATATTTCGTTAATACCTAAAGCTAAAATATATTTTACTTTCTCAATCGGCATTCGATGAATTATTAGGAGCTAGGGTAAGATGTGTTTTGTAGAGTAAAAGTTGTAGATCAAAATCAGTCTGAAATCAATTAAAATCATGAAACTCTAGTTTTGTAGTAATCGATAATCAGCAAAAAATCAAGTGTCGGAATGAGAGGGATTTTTTAGAGAGGAGACCGAATGTTCAAATGGTAGTGACAAAGAGAATTTTCATCACCGAAATTGGTCATAATCAGTTTTAGATAGTAGCAAAATATTAACTTTGGGTGAAAAAAATGATATTTTAAAATTTTTTGGGTAAGGATTCGCCAAGGCACCTTGGGTGGGACAATGCCATTTACTCTAACTAATTTTGACTAAAAACAGTTTCTTTCACTCAATAACTTATTTACTTTCTTTATGTTATTTTTATTTTCCTGAAAAGCTAGTGGGAACCTAAGAGAATATGAAGTCGACTTCACGACAAATCTCTCTGTTTCTTTAAATTTTTAGTTAGCTTTTTTAAATAATACTACACCTTCAATCATTTTTCACAAGTTTTGATGTGATAGTTTATAATTGACCAGATCATAACGAATTTTATTAATTAATTAAAGGTTAAACAATTATGAATTATCCCATTAAAATTATAAGAAAAAAATTTATGAGAGAAGATTATTAATGTAGTATTACTCTAATTTTTTTTTTTTTTCGATCATTTATACATGCTTAAAGGAGTTAGATAGTAAACTTTTTATTTATGAATTAACGCATCCAGTAAAGGATATGTTCCCACCCAAAGGTTTGGAGAAATACCAAGTGTCCACTGTTTTCATAAATTTTATATTTTCACCTTTAAATTAACAAAATCCATTTAATATAACAGTAAAGGCTAAAATAGTCATTTAAATATGTATAAAAATCAAATTTCAAAATAACCCTTAAAGTCTCAAAATAAGTTAAATAACCCTCTATGGAAAGGGAGGGATGGCGAGTCTCCGGCGAGAGGAAATCGGCTAGAAAAAAAAGCACCCAAACAAACAAGCTAACGTGCGTCACCTCCTGCTAAAATGGGTGGCTATTTTGGTGAAATGAAAAGAAGGTTGGAGAGGATGGTGGGGATGCTGGTGGTGGTGAGGTGGTTGTGGGTGAGGTGGTTGTGGCCGTGGAAGGTGTTGTGGTGGTGGCGGTCGTAAAAGGCGGTGGCGACAGCTGGGAGAAGGTTTACGAGAGTGCAAGCTAGAGGGCAGGTCGCTGATTGCGACCTTTTATCGAACAGGTTGTGTTCAATCCGAAAAAGGTCAAAGGAAAGAGCTTTCAGAGGCGCCGACGACCAGAAAACTCCAACAAGTCACAAACACTTCTAAAGAATCTCAATTTGCGTCCAAACATCCAACAAAATCAACTCAAAACAATCCTTCAGACTCAAACAAAACCCAAGGAAAATGGCCTTCAAGATGGTGAAAAAGGAGCAAAGAGGGTTGGGGGATAAGCGTGTTTTGGAGAGGGTACACCGGGGAGTGGAATGGCTGGGTAGAGGGCTATTTCTGGTGGGAAGGGTGGTCGAAAAAAGGCTTGGAAATGGGGTTATTTTCTAATTCTATTAATTTGGGGGTTAAAAGGAATTTAAAAATATTTTGTCAAGGGCAGTATGGTAATATCATTTTCTGTACCTGTGTCGGAATCTAAAAGTTGCTAAGGGTGTTGGTTTAAGGGTGAGAATTGAAACTTATGAAACCCGGGGTGGAAAGTTGGCATTTGGCCAAACCTTGGGTGGGAACTTGTTTCCTCTTGACGCATCCTTAAAAGGAGTTAGATGTAAAGCTGTCCAAATGCAATATTGTGTTAATCTCTTTTTTTTTTTTTTTTTTTTTGTTGTGGAGAACGTGATTCCCGTATCGTATAATTTTAATTGAAACGGCAAATAAACTAAAAGATATTTTTTTTTTTAAACAGAAGTTGTACCAAGTACCCAGCAGTCCAGCACACTTTTGCCTTTAATATTGTGTAAATGCAAATTTCTCTATGGATAAAGTCTCTCAACAAAACAAGCGCGAAACCTTCGCCCAATTAAAAAACGAATTGACTTTGGTCAACCCAATAACAACCAATCAGAGTCTACCGTGACCTCAAGATGTTCTTTCCTTGTCACTTGATCTTTTCTCCCTAAAAATAATTTGTCTTTCTAACCCAAGTGCTCCTTCCGTCTCCCTTCTTCTCTACGTTTTCACCTGAAGTTCTCTTGAATAATCTTGAACCTTCGCGAGCTCGTGCTTTCCTTCGCAATTTACAAACATACTTTTGATATAGAAACAAAGATAGGATGATGTTATAGACAAAGATACTCGAGAAAAAGAAGACCAAAAAATCAGACGATCAAGAGCGATGTCGTATAGAGAGAAAATGGGGACTGGATCGGCATTTACGGGAATGGTGAAGCAGGCGGAGCAACTGAGATTAGATGGAAACCTTTACTTCTCTAAGGATCGTTTTGGAGCTGCCATTGATGCTTACACTGAGGTCTTTCGATCAATTCTTTTGCTTATTTTGTTGATATTTTTGTTAATTCTATAACCATGCAATGGAGATGTTTCTTGATAATGATTCTTGGATGAAATTTTGGTTTGGTTTTGATTGAATTTGTAGGCGATTACTCTCTGCCCTAACGTGCCTATATATTGGACGAATCGCGCTCTTTGTCATCTCAAGCGGAAGTATGTATGAGCACTGAACCTTGTTTTTTCTTTAATTTTTTCCTTAAGAAAATAAGTAATATTTTTGTTTATATTGTTTTGATATTGTTGCGTTGTGGCCTTTGGTTGATTGTGTAATATGTAGTGATTGGACAAAACTTGAAAACGACTGTCGGAAAGCGATTCAGCTTGACCACAAGTCTGTTAAGGTATTTATTCTATGTTCGTTTTGTTACTTGCAATTGCTTGAATTATTCTTTCATCAGAAAGTATTGAATTTCGTAGTTGTTTGATGGCAGTAAACTGTGTCTGGCTGTTTAGTTTCAATTTGTCTATTGATGGTTGTTAATTATTCTACTGTCATTTCTGGGTTTTTTGTAATGGATTAGTGAACAGCAGGAGTTTACTGATTATTATGCTCTTGATAGCATTATGATATCAGATTCTTTGTGTGCATTCGAGCCTAAGTTTGCGCTTACTTGCTTCTGGGACGTAGTTATAGATTTATCTGTCTTGTCGTTTTTTTTTTTTTTAATCCTTTTGTTTGAGGGTGGCTTTTGTGCATGAATCTAACTATCTTCTTATTCATGTTCCCCCCTTTTACAATTTATTTCATTTTCTTTATTCTGTTAATTAACTTGTCATACACAAAACTATTTTAGACGCATAAGATACTGTCAGGGTATTTCCAAGTAGGTCTAGTACTTTTAAGTGCTTCAATTGTTGAATTGTACCATTTCATCTGATACAGAATTCAGCAACCTTAATCATATACATTTACACTTGGATGAATTGTTGAATATCATGGCTTACTTTCGGGTGACTTTTGTTTAGTTTGAGCAACTTTTCTTGCTCAGCAAATGCTCTTAGAAGTGTTGAATTTTTAACTTCTCATCCTATTCTACTTGAGAAAAGACATTTGTAGTGTAGGGTATAAGAAGCTGAGTAGTGTAGAATTGTTTGGGTTTTTACTTGTAACTGTGGTTGTTTTTGAGTTGCCAAATTGACGTGATCTCAAGCTTGTTTTAAGTTTTCTTGCTTAATGGAATGAATCAGGGTTAATTTTGAATAAACCTTGAGCTTCAATTTAAGAACTGAATGAAAAGAGGTGCAGAGTGGCATGGACTGCAGCTGAACCTTTTGTTGTTATTATTGCTAGTATTGTTATTTATCAAGGTGGAGGGAAGAGGAGGTGTGGCTGATAGATACAGGGATAGATCAGAGTCAATCATTGTATTATAAGCTTTAGCACACTCCTCACAGGCACTTGAAGATGCACATGGACCAAATACAATCACAACCACAAATACAAATCACAGAGAAAAACTATTATAGTTTGATTAATACTATATGGCGATATGGCGGTTCAAATGCAAACAGCTGCAATGTATCAAGTGAATTGAAGTTTCTCACGACAAAAATTTCATGATCATCTATGCACATGAACATATAAAATAAGCTTAGTTTATGAGTTGTCCAAATACTGAAATAGAGGATAGATAATAATGAATCAAGGTTGATTTGAATTCTATTAAGTTATCACTTGATTAAAAAGCTTAAGTTGATAGATAAAGGTCCAATAGCAATATTTATTTCTGAAACATGCTCCCCCATGGGCACTTGCACATGAACCAAACAGAACCACAACCACAATTGCATATCACAAATATTTCTTATTATCATTTTTTTTATTGGATCATAATTATCTTACTCTTTCAGTGGTTTTGTTACATGACAGGGCTACTATATGCTGGGACTTGCATTGCTAAAGAAAATGGAATATTCTGAAGGAGTCAAAGAATTGAAAAAGGTGCAGAATCATATATGTGCTGGATAGTTCTTTAACTTTTTATTAATGTTTGTACGAGTGACTAGATGTTATTGGTTTTTAATCTAATGAAATATGACTGAGTTCATTAATTTTTTTTTTGCAAGTATTATTATTACTAGTATTACTACCATTTAATATCCTTTTATTTGGTCTTTAACGTATTCAGTATATCACTTTTATGCTCAGTTTCTCTGCTGGGAAAAAGAATGGAGAGCTGAGCATAGCATGTTATGTTAGTATAGTGATTTTTCTTATTGATTATAGCATTTTATCATACTAATGACAATGCTGTTAAATATTTTGGTACTTATCTTCTGCTTTTGCTTTTTGCAGTTCGTTATTACCTGTTAAATTATAGAACTAACAATTATGTGGATAAATAACAGTCTTATCAATAATATCTTTTAGATATTTAAGAATTTACTGATGATTTTAGGTTTAACTTACTTTTTAAATGATAGTTCAATATCTTGGAATTGTTAGTTTTGGTATTTTCAATCATGTGTTATGGTTTGGTTAACTTAAACTTAGCAGTCATTTTTGTTTCAGTGTATAATGTAATCAAAACCATTTCCTAGTATTGATGGAAGTATCAGTTGTCTGGTGCTGACTGAGCTTGATGTTTCTTTACCCTTTTTGTTGCACATAACAATATTAATGTTCTGATTCTAGTTACATGCTGTTTCGTTGCACAAGCATTATTTTATATTCTTATTGTAAGCATCTTCTTTTAGCTCTTACAGAACGTGGTTTTGCAGGCATTGGATCTTGAGAGGGGTGCAGACTCCAAGGGTTATATGGTAGAGGAAATCTGGCAGGCGCTTGCAAGAGCAAAATATTTGGAGTGGGAGCAAGCATCTAGCAAACGTTCATGGGAATTACAAAGCTTGAAGTATGTGCTCCCTGTGAGTTTTCACCTTTGTTGTTGGGAAATTGGTTTGATTATTTGACAGAAGTTGATCTGCGATGTTATTAGGGGATGCTTCATAAAATTTGTTTCTGTGTGTAACAGGGAAGCTTGTGAGGCAGCTCTTGAAGAAAAGTATGTTCTTGATATTTCTAGAGCAGAGGAATCGTCAGATGAAGCTACTACTAATCATTTGAGACACATGGAGGCTCTAAGAGAAGTATTTAGTAAAGCTGCAGAAGCTGACACGCCTAATGAGGTGAGTATTTGGATTAGCTCCATTTATATATTTTTGTTTCTTTTTAACTACAAATTTTTACTGTTATCAGTGGAGAAATTGATTTGGTATTTCAGGTGCCTGACTATCTATGTTGTAAAATTACACTTGATATTTTTCGTGATCCTGTCATTACTCCAAGTGGACTTACATATGAGAGAGCAGTGATCCTTGAGCATCTTCAGAAGGTGATAGTATGCTTTTGGTATCGCGTGGTGAAATTTATATGTTTTCATACCTTCACTGATCCTCTGTCATCTTCATATTAGGTGGGTGACTTTGATCCAATCACAAGGGAACCACTCGATCAATCCCAGCTAATACCAAACTTGGCAATAAAGGAAGCAGTTCATGCATTTCTAGATAAACATGGTTGGGCATACAAGACAAGTTGAAATTTAGTTGCATTGATGTGCTCAATGTGTGTGGACTATTGGAGCAGAGTCAAGTTTTTAGACTTCTGGTATGAGTGCCTTGTTTAAAGTTCTGTATGCATCATTGAATTTTTGATCATGTTTGGTACTTATGTAATGTGGCTTCAATGTGCATTGCAATAATCCTAGGCATATGCGATATCAGATGATCCTTTGAATTGTACAGAGATCTTTATATACCATTGAGTTCCTAACTTGGTATGTTGTACTGAATTTTATTGAATCATATGCATAAAGTTAAGTACCATGAAAAGATTGTCTCTCTAATGGTTTCTAGGTAAATTTCTTCCCAGGGTATATTAAAATATTCTCTCTTCTGATTTATGTGGTGATAGATATTTTTTGTTCTATAATGGAGATTGCTTTCTTCCAAATGCTGTTGATCATTTTCTGCTTAGCCAATTGGTAGTCAGATGTTACCATCCTGGGTGGGTATAATGTAACACTAGTGTTTTGGATGAGGAAGAAATAGAGGTGGGGGGGTTCAGTGGGGCTACCCATTCCAACATAAATAAAAATTTTAATATGGGGACGTACAGCTCAGCAATAGAGGTGAGTAGAGTGTAGAGGGGGCAGGAGCTTAAGCATTAGAAAATAGAAATGGTTGAAATGCAAAGTGTTGATTTATTGGTATGGTGGGAGTGCATTGGAATGAATAAAGTTTAGGAGTCAATCATGGTGTGCTGTAATGCATAGTGATTCATCTTTTACTTTTAAAAGATGATGGATGAATGTACCTGCTTTCTTTCATAGCTGAATGAACCCTTCCTCTTTTGAGATAACAATTACGACTGTTGTTATGTTGGTAGGACCTATTACAGTATTTGTGGTATCTATCACATTCAAGTACCAAAATTAAATGATCTTATACTTCCTCGTGACAAAAATGTTCTTCTGTCTTGTACGTCTACTACTGATTTAGCTCCAAAATATGCTGAAATAGCATCTTATACTTACTCGGTGGAAAATTAAAAGTCTATCGTGAGAATTTTCTTTGTTAAAGTTGCTGTAATTAAAGTTAAAGGTAGGCGAAATTCGTTTTGGGTTGCCCTGCCTTCAACTATAAGAGGAAGAGGGTGTGATTATATTGTCAATAGCAAATTACACAATTATTTCTTAAACAGTTGTGACTTATTTAAGTCGATATATTCATGGCTAGTCCAAAAAAGTCATACTTGGTAGACCCATTTTTTTTAAAAAGAAAAAAATGAAAATAACCCTTGCATTATTTAAGTATGTTGATAATGCTATCAGAATTTGGATGTATTACGGAAGGAAACTTGTTTTAAAGTGACGCCCACTCATCAGACACAATTAAACAATTGAATAGCAACTGTTGTCTATATACGTCTCTGTCAACATCTCATTTTTGTTATTTGTGCTAATGAAAATTTCAGGGCCGCATGTTATGTCGTTCAAAAAAAGTTTTTTAAAAAACTGTGTTGTAATTTAGTTTTGAGTTAAATAAAGTCTTTATATATTCATAATTAAAAATAAAGATTAGATTGTTTGGAAATTCATATATTTGTTCTTGTCGGTTGGTCAATGAAAATCATTTGTCAAAAAAGATTATTAAAATAAAGTAATGAATAGGACAACTGACCTGCTATTAAGTCTAACGTTTTAAGTTTGATAGGTTTGTAATTCTATGGTTCCATTACTACGGGATCAAATCTCACCGACACTTAAATGACTTTTTTATATTTTAATACCTTTCCTTCACCAATAGTCCTGTCGGCGTATGGAATACTTGTAATGTTTTTATCTTCGCCATATAAATAAATATTTGATTAATTAAAAACTAAAACATATAACATCAAACTAAACCAACTCAAACGTTATTTACAAGTATTTATGCATGACAGATGAAAGTAAACAAAAAAAATGAAAGGTATTGTTGATATTTGTGGTGCTGAGGCATGCATTTGTATTCACTCATTTTGATAATGTTATGGGCATTGAGATGGTGAAAGGCCATTTTATGATGGCTTATCAATTGACAGTTGTTTGTTTGTTCCAACTGGGGTGGTATATCTGCTTTCCCTGGTGCAAATACAGTTCAGCGTTGAAAATGTCTTCCCAAAAGAAATTCTAAATTTTGCTTTTAATTATGAATAAAGATAGAGCGAGAAGCATTTATTATAATTTTTTTTTTACAAACGTGGATATGATAGTTCATAATTGGTCAATTCATATTTAATCAGATATAATTTATTATTAAATAAATGAAATTTATTACGAACTAATCAACTACAAACTATAATGTTTATAAATGAAAGTTTGCGGATATATGCTAATGTTACTTATTCACCGTCTCAATTTGGATGAGTAGACTATCCCCATATGACTTCAAAACTTGCCAGCACACACACCAATTATTCACTTATCACATCAACTTCAATCATTCATATAACACTAAACAATAAGACGGCCAATAAATTTTGTTTTTGTAGACCCAGTTTTCTCTTTACTTTAAATAATAAAAATAAATGTTTTATATTTCTGGTGGAAGAAGAAATTAGTGGAAACACCACTTCCCAGTTCCCATCCCAGCCGTCCATGACTTGGCGGGTTGTGAATTTATTAAGCCATTATAATGCCCACTTCCACATAGTAGGCCCATTGCTTTGATCTTGAAATTTATGATTTTGTTGAAACAACTCAGGTGAAATTGTTGATTTTTTTTTTTTTTTTTTACCAATCCTTTGACTGATCATAAGAACAGGATAAATTTTGGTGGTATAACTGTTTCATTGAAGACTTTTTCACCAAAGCGAGGGGCAACAGCTTGGATTGGATGGACCACAATACCAGAAATCACAGCGCCATTCAATATGGACACATTCTTCTCGTCACTTATCTAATACTTTCTCAACCATTCATTCACCGTTCCCATTCATTTATGAATCATCAACTCTAAAACAAGCTTTGGTTTTTTATCTTATTCTTATTTCTTGTGTCCAGGAGGTCACATGTCAGAGGAAATGTTGTTGCTACTGTGAAAATTTTTCGAAATATGTATTCGATAATAAAATTTAATCTTGCATAATCCAAATATTCAATACTCTGTGAGAAGAAGTGCATTAAAATGTAAAATTTTAGTTACCAAATAAGAATGTTGAGAAAGTATTGGACAAACTAAAAAGGGAATAATCATGTGCAAGTATATAAGCTGAAACTAGCGAACAAGGAGTTTCTAATACTCAGAAAGTGATGGCTTATGGTAGAAAACAAGTAGAAGAGACAACATTGCTAGTACAACTATATTAAAAACAAAATAGAAACCAAGTAGAATTAGAATGTAATAAATTATTGAACAAACCAAAGGGAAAAAATCTTATAAATAAAGCTTCCGACGTATTTATTCACAGCGACTAACTCATAAACATGAAACTGGAATTCAAGGAAAAGAATTTACAAAATGGTGATTGAGGATGACTAGCTTTGACAACCAAAGATAAGGGAAACGGGTGTAGAATTTACAAATGGGTGCTCGGTAATGCTGCATTAAGTGAGTTCTTCATGCAGTATGAGTAATATTAACAGCCCTCTTCAATCTCTCAAGAATACCATTAGCCTTTCTCTTGGCCCTTGCAGTTCCATTTTGAGCAAGCTTAGATATTGTCCCATAGGTGTTCTCCTCTTCCTTCATTGCTTTCCATTTGGTTCGATCATTCAGACAGATGGTGTGGAGGATTGCAATGCAATTTTCCTTATTGCGCTCACAAGTACTTTCCCTAATTATGCGAAGCAAGCAAGACACGGCCCCAAGATCACCCATTTCCTCAACAGCCCTTTGATTGGTAGAAAGAATTGCAAGAATAGCCAATAATTCATCTACATGCACACCATCCGCAATTTTCTTCAGAATAACCCTGACCGCACCATCTCTCACAGCTCTTGCCTTGTTTTCATGGAAAATACATAGGTTAAACAATGCAGAGGCAACATCTTTCATTGCTAATGTATGACCCTCATCTAAAAGATCAATGAGTGGTTTTAAGGCTCCAGATTTTCCTATAAGTTCCTTATTGGAATCAAGAGCAGATAAAGTGAAAAGTGCGGCAGCTGCATTGCTCCTTGTTTCAATGGTCCCGGATCTCAATGCTTCCATTAGAAGAGGAATTACCATGGGGGTTTCAGCAACAAGTTTTTTGTTGCTGTCATGGATAGAAAGATTCAAGAGTGTTGTTATCACGTCTTCTTGGAGATTGGGGTGAATCCCACTTTTAGACTTGCTTTCAGAGAGAGGACTGAGCAACTGTGGTATGGCATCAAGAGACTCACCAAAAAGCGCTCGAAATGAGGGGATCCTCTTTGTCAACAACCGAAGCTCCTTTGCAGCTTCTCTCTGTTCAGCAAGAGTTGCAGACATCTTCTCAAGCAAAGAAAGAAAATGGTCCCGATCTGCTTCCGTTACTTCTTCATTAACATACTGAACAGGGTTGGGCAATTCTATTCCCTGACACTTACACCATTGTGATATCATTTCCCGGATAAGGTAATTGGGAGTAAGGATTGTGTGAGACAGCACTTGCTGGGTTCGTGGGCATGTCCGGTTGCCAGCTTTTAGCCATCTTTGGATATATGGTCTATCAAAAGTCTGCAAAACAGAAACATATCAAAAAAAAATCAAGAACCTAGAAGAAACATATTAAGCATCAATTAACAATACAATATCATCAGAAAGATAAAAAAATCCAGCAACTCACAATGGTGAATTTTATTTATAAATCGGAAAAAAAGGATAATTCACAACAAGCGTCAATGATTAACATTTAACCAATTGTTGATGCGCTTGTTGTTTCTGGACGCCTCTTTTGTCCATTTTCAATATTAAATAATCGAGGAAGCTCAGTTAATTTGCATTATCCTAAAGATTAGCATCATTTTGGAAGCAATATAATATTATTTCGAGAAAGTAATGGGGGAGGATGAACATAATAAATAGATATCCAAACTCCAGCCAATCAATCAAATGCAGCTTTCAATTTTTTTTTTTTTGAAGGATAGTACGAATCTCCTTAGTATTTTAATTTCACCAACCACCACACAGCTTAACCTCTCCAATGTTACTAGATCATTAACCAAATGAAAATGCAAAATAAACTAACGTTAAATTAAAGAGGGAAAACAAAAAAAAAAAAAAGCTTTAAGCAACACTTGGTTGTTACCAAATTATGATGGTGTTAACATTATATCTCAATGTTTTTCTTCTCTTCACATTTTCTCAGCCACCAAACACAACAGAAA